ACGTTTTTGCGTAGCCCCCAACCCCACCCGAAAGCAACTTGCAACTTCACAGGAATTCCGCAGTTTACTATCAGCAAGTTTGAAAATTAAACGTCAGAACCACGACTACAAACTAATATACAAGCTGTTATGCCAGGTCACTGGGAAAGATCTGGGTCAGCAAAGAAGTCACAAATGAACCGCGCCATAGCACAAAACTGATTCTGAAAGAGGCGAAGAGGAGATGACCGATAACATATGAACTACGAAAAGTTCCTTCTTCGATTTCGATTTTCCTCGCTTGAACTAGAGATCAGGGTGCTTCTTTGTTGTTTTTCATTTACTAATAACATTGGTTAACATCATGTGTATAAAAACTAAAAATAGGTATGGAGCACGGGAGGAAATATTAATCAGAATAGACATCTCTTGTGTAGAATAATAATGTATAATGTCCTTTAAGCAGTGTTTGTCTCGATGAGGGCATAAGGTGGTGAGAGGGTGAAAAAAAAAAAAACGAACAAATAAGCGTTGTACCTCTCCTACGAGGGCGTGTCTTCGGGCTCACCAGGTAATTTCACCCTAAATTGTCACGCAGACTAGACACGAACCAAAAATAGTGACACACGGTTCAGATCAACAAATGCTGCAGCACTTGTCATCAACAAAGCAGCTACCCTGTGTCGCAGGTTTTCGAAAGGGAAATGGGGATGTTGAGAAGTGCGGAAGGAACACGTGAAGAAGTCAAAGAACGAATGCGTGGGAGGCTAGTGTTCATGACGTTGCCCACTGGAATGAAGCAGGACATAACGGGAACGCCACAAACACTTCAACCGCGCTTAGAAACGTTTACACCCCCCCCCACCCCCCCCCCCCCCCCCCGTCCCCTCTTCGGGGAGAGTGATTGAGGACTGGAAGGAGTCCTGGCGTTCTTGACTCTCTTTAGGCGGTTAAAGAATTAAGGTTTAGAGCTCTTGTTTCATCTTTTAAAGGACTCTTACTTCAAATTTGTTAAAACTGTTTTTTTTGTGGCTGTTGATTTTTTTCTTAGAGTACTCTTTGGTAAGGATTAGTAGAGGATTAAACATTAGACAGAAAAAGCGACCAATTCTGACCCGAGGTCTAACTGATCTTTGGTTTGGTTTGGAGAGTGATTGAGGACTGGAAGGACTCCTGGCGTTCTTTGACTCTGTTTTAGGCTGTTAAATAGTCAAGGTTTAGAGCTCTTGTTTTATCTTTTAAAGGACTCTTACTTCAAATTTGTCGAAACTGTTTTTTTTGTGGCTGTTGATTTTTTTCTTAGAGTATTTGGTAAGGATGAGTAGAGTATTAAACATTAGACAGAAATAGCGACCAATTCTGACCCGAGGTCTAACTGATCTTTGGTTTGGAATCCTATAAGAAAAAGATGTCTTAAATTTCATTTCAATTTTAGTACCGTGCTTTTGCTAACATCTTTTAAACATGAAAATTGAGTTTTAACAAATATCTGATTCAAACTCCCCATCTCATACATCACGGCTATTTTAGTACAAAGAGCATGTTCTAAGTTAAAATTTAATAGTAAAGGACAAACTTTATGAAAGGACAATAATAAAACATATATTTCCCCCGCTTTTTCCCCACTTGACATGAGAGTTTTAACATTCGCCCTGTGTATCAAGATAGAATAGTTAAAGAAATTCTTTTTATTATACTGGCTTTCGGTTTTACATCACAAATGGATAATACGTCACAAATACATTCAAGGTCAAAAACTTTCGGGATTTTTCTCCAATCTCGTCACCAGTTTCTCTTCTAAGTTGAATGCAGTGGTTCCAAAATAAAAGAGAGGGGACTGATAAACACAAAGTTCATTCCATCAGTTCACAGAAGAACATTTTACGGAAATTTTGATATTACCTTTACATTAAGATAAAGTCAAACAAAAATTTCCAACTTTGTACCAAAATATAAATTTTAGCTAAGTCAAATTAAATTTCAATAATCATTATTGAATTATTATTATATTATTTCTTTCCTACAGTTAATATTATTTATAAAAGCTTTGCTATTGCTTGACATTTCACATCAATATATATATATATATATAAAAAACCAAAAACAACACTTCACTTAAACATGCCTCAAAACGCCTACATAAACCAGGCCTTTCTTGCTCTTGGGATTGATTGCCTCATCTCAAAGAGAAATTTTGCAGTTTAAGCCATATCATTTATCCTTTGTTAGACGAAAAAAGTTATTTTTTTATTGTTGTCAGGCTGAACACAGTTTTTCGGGCAGTCAGCGGTAGCGCGTGTTTTAAATTTGACAAAGACACATGGCAGCGAAAAGGGCAATCAGGTACACAGGGGACCATTTCTCAAAATCTACTCGTTAAAATTTTGTGATATTTGGCAAAATTTTTACTTTTACCGTATTTTAAATATTAAATATATATATTCAGTATATTTTTCACTTGCCAAGTTTCAGCTTTCAAGCCGCAACCTTTCTCTTGCCATGATTTGGCAAATGACATATATACTAACAAACTGCCAAAACAGTGTTCAGCCACCTTAACCAGGGCCACCTAGGAGTCACCCAGACAAAATTGTCCAAGCCGATAGCATGACAATAACAATACATTCCAAGAAGTCAATCATAATCACTACAAAATGAAATAAACAACATAGAACAAAATCTACCAATTACAATCTAACAATGTGACCTTAAAAAGTCCATGTTTCCTGAGAGGTCACTCAGTTAACAACGCAATCCTTGGTTAAATTTCTGTTTTGAAGTTGCATGTTATCGGATAACGCAGGGGTGTTAGCAAAGAAATTGCTGTTAAATCACAAAATAATGCTCCCGAGCATTATATTTAAAGTTTCAAACATGAAAACATTATAAAATGATAAATATTGGTTTCTGGGACACATTTGCAGAATGTTTTCTTTTTAAGTGATCTGATTGGTCGATTATGTCTAAGTGGCCCTGGTTACAGCAGTTGCACTGTAATGAATTGCTTAATAAACTGAATAGCAGTGTTCTGTCAAGTTCAAAACATGCAGCATATAGAAATATAACCTTTAAATAATTTTCAAATATTTAGGCACCGATTTCAAGTTTCATCATTCTGAAAAACGCCCGCGAACCATAGTTTTGGTATTTTCTTGATTAACTGGTTTGACAGTACTTGATTACTGCACTTTTCAGAAACACAGGAATTCTGAAGTTCAAAACCCAACTGACGTTTGCATTTTTCACAGCTGTCAATCATCTTAGTGGACCTCTTAGGAAACAGACGTCTACTTCAACAAGTTCAAAAGTTCATGGTTTGTGATTGGTGGATTGTGATCTGTTTTGTGTGTTTCTGTGTTTCAGGGTTTGTTGCTTGTATTCGTAATTATGATTGACAGCAGCGAAAACAATTGTAAAGGCGGCTTTTGAACTTTTAGAGTTTGAGTGTTTTTGAAAAGCGCAGTAAATAAGAAGCAAGACCAATAAAATAAACCAAGAAAGCAAAGCCAAAAAAAGAAACAAAAACAAACACAAGGCAGGCGGGGGAATTGAACAGTTTCCAGGCCCCCAGCTCCGAGCCCTTAGTGACAGCCTTGAAATGACACAATTCCCTCTTACTGTCTACAGCTGAATGAATACAATTATTGCATTCATACCAACATTGTCAGCAATCAGTGTTCTATCAGTGTTCTGTACTGTCCACTCACTGCACTGACTGATCACTGATATTATACAACCATTGTTGCTTCAAAAGCCTCAAAATTTCTTTGCCTGTTCAAAGTACATTTACTACCTAACAGACCTTTAACAGATAAAAGTGGATGCAACATGTTCCTCGAGATCAAGGGTCCAATGTCAGTACCACAGGCACCCTCTACTAAGCAGTTGTTACCCTCAGATATCCCACTTTAAAACATTGTCACTATTTGCAACACAAATCTAACAATTCTCCCCAAATCGTAGCCCGTAAAGTCTGCCAAGCATTGCGATATCCTTGTTCTGGCTTCCCAATAGAGAGGAGAGGTCATTACATCACGTTGTCATGGTAGCAAAATTTTGGATGACAACAAACCAAAAACGTCACTTAAAAAGTGAATTCACACTGCTTCAAACTTCATCAATCTTATTCAATTTCATTTAATTTGGCAAATGTTGGCGACATTTTCTCAGGTTGAATCCGAAAGGACCGTATTTATGTTTAGAAAAAGAAAAAGACTACTGTTGTGTTGTGTTCACCTACTCCATAAAGCAAGCATGTGAAATTAGGAAGTTTCATGTCGCAGGGGTGCAACGATGGCAAAGAAATGAACAAAGTAGCATGATGCGCATGCAAATGAGTTGCTTTGTCAATAAAAACCTATTAATTTTTTGCGTTCTCCTTCCATCACTGTTGTTGTTGGTTTTGTTGTCATCCAGAAATAGTGCTACCATGGTGACGTGACGTCACACTTCTCCTCTCTATGGACTCAACGAATAATTGCAAATGTACAACGAATTTTCCTTCAACTTGATTGGCAAATCGGCAATGGCTTTTTAAACAGGACAATCATGGCGTCTACCCAAATCCTGGTACACAGGTGGGGGACCCAGTACAAGGACTTGGGTGCTCTTTTGCAGGTGGACTTAACAAGAATTTTCACTCTATCTGTGACACAGGCAACCTAAATCCATACCTGTAACCTAGCAATCTTCTTACCTGCAATAACTTTACTAGCAGAGTTTTCACACCATTGGTAGGTAATACATGTAACAGGGAAGCACTTCTCAGTGAGAAAGTCAATTCCAGGATCACTGTACTTCACATCCAAGGACAATTCTAGCTGCGTGTGTTAAATCTTGAGGTGTGAACATTCATATGAAAGCCATTGAGCAAGAAGCTAATAATGGTTTTATTCACAAATCTTGCCATTGAAACTTCCATTATCCATCGATCAAAACAAGTATTTTCTGTTCAGTGAAATAATAATTTGCGGGAATCCATAATTTATTTCACAGTTTTGTTGCAGGACCCCAACCTTGCTTCAATAATCATCAAAGCATGTTTTCCACCACTCCATTCCTTGCAGTTGGCAGTTGATGTATTTAAATCTGTAATCTGATGCCTCAGATAATGTTGTCAGAGAGTGAGTCTTGGCTGAAACCCTGTAAATAAAGACTCATGGTGTAACAGAACTGTTTTAATAGAGACAGTTTGTGATTGTGACAAGAACAAGTAAAATTGTACAAGTTTAAAATAGCAAAAGCAAAAATTAATGGTTGTATGAGTGAGGCACATTCCTATAGCCTGAGAAAACAACTGAAATTTTTCAACAACACCACAGATTTCCTTGCAAAAGGACAACTGAAGAACAAGTGCAGAAGTTCCATACTGATGATAATTATGCCCCTACAGTATACCCAGATCTGGGTAGTGATATCATTATTTTATTGGCTTGACTTAAATATCATTTTTTTTTTGCGGAAACATGTTTTGCAACCACACACATGAATGATCGTGGCATGCACCCTTGCAACACTTTGGCCCAACACACGCCCCTTTAAACAAGTGTTGTCAAGAATGTACTTTAAAAAATTTACAATGTAGTAATGAAATGTACTGAAAAGTAAAAATGCACACAAGGAGACCTTTGTGTTCCCCATTCAATGGAATAAAACAGTATACAGAAGACAATGATATTAGACCACCCATCATTTTCTATCCATTACAGGTAACTCAGAGCTCAGCCCCAATAAAAGAAATGTGTAAATTTCACTGAATTGGTTACATTTATTTTCACTGTTCCTGTCTTTATAAAAATTTAAAAACCTTTCTGACATACATGTATCTAACAGAACATATGGTATTATGTATGAAGCCATTTTACTTACGTTATCAAAAAGGCCAGATTAAATGACCAACCACAACAGACCCTCCTGCCAAAAGAGAAGATAACTTAATTAACTTTTCCCAATGAAGCGGGGAGGTAACTGGGAAAAAGAGGACAAAACTAGAACAGAAAGGGTGCAACCAAGGGTCAATTTAGTAAAACTTTTACACAAGTAATTTTCAAGTGTAGCTATTGTTCTCAGACTCTAAAACAATGCCTGCACTCTAAATTACACGTGTAAAAATTTTATTAAATTGACCCCTGGAATGAGAAAAGGGAGATAGGAAAAAAGAGAATGGGAAATTGGAGCAAAGAGATGGTGACTGGAAGAAAATCAAGAGGAACTGTGAAAAGGTGGTTAAAAGAGAAGTGGGACCTGGGATTAGAGAGACAAATGGTGGAAACCGGGAGCAAGAAGATTGGAACTGTGAGAGCAGAGGAAGGGGGGCTGCATGAGGAAATGGTAACAATAACAGAAATAAAAGGTGGAATTGGGAGTTAGGAAACAGGATGGGAATTAGAACCAATAAATAGTTATGAGGATGTTGATGCCCAGAGTCATATAAAAAAACATGAAGATTATTGTGCATTCAAATGCACTGACATACAGGTACTAAGAAAGAAGAAATATATTAAGATGGAATCCATTAGGTAATTGAGTAATTTTTTTTTCAGTGGACAAAAATCTTGCACCAGAATAATTTAAAGCACATTGCATTCTTTTTTATTTTTGTCCAATGAAAACTAAAATTACTCAATTTCCTGATGGATTGCACCTTAATCTTCAGAGTTCACAATACAACTTACCTAATTTTGTCAGCCTCTTGCTTTGAGTATGTAGTGGTTACATAAAATGTATGCTGTAATGGAAAAATTTCCTTGATAAGTACAACTGCTCTTGATTTCATCAAATGCATACTAACAAACTCTGCTACTTACACTAATGGTGCCACAAGGGACATGGCTCATACCACCTGCGCAAGGACATGATTCTGGACAGTACGTATAGAGTGATTTTGTTACTTCTGCGTCCTGCACCCCTGACGCATAAAAATCCCCAAAGACTCACAAAAGTTCATTGCATGAGTCCTGTAGGACGTAAAGATCGATTGATCTGAAGACGTTTTTGTAGAATATCCTGTCTGTGTGATTTCTATGGCTGTTCATGTGGCTGTTGTTTAAAGACAAATATTTCTTTTGATCTTTGTTGTGCTTTACAAAAGAATATCTTTTTTCTGTCTGGTCACATAAAGGCCAAGGCATTTTCAAGTTAGGACTTGTGACTCAGTGGTTCTGGAGTGGGACTCAAAATTTCTTCACAAGATGCAGTGTTTCAGACAAGAGACCGGTCTGGGGTCAATGACCTGACAAAGAAGGCTTCCTGACCTGACAGATGACATATAAGTGTCCAGTTAAATATAACAAAAAAAAAATTAGCATGTGATCTTGGTGACCCCTCAGATGGTTAACATGACCCCCCGCTTGAAAGAATTAACTGGAACACTGAAGATGAGTCCCAGGACTCACCATAACTATTTGTGACAAAATCACTGAGTATAATGATTTCATGCAGGTCTATGCTTAACAGGGAGTCAACCTGTCCTAACAAGGGTACAGCTCCGGGCATGGGGATTCTTTACCTAGTATTTAAATGTTTGTAAATTTTAACTATAGAAAAGCAATAACTGTGCCAAAGACCCTTAAAACAGTTTTTCCATGAAAAGTCCATATATTATCCAAGGTAAACAAATAAAAAAGTTACCAAAACCCTACAAAAATCAATCCAGGGATGTCACTAAGATTTCAAGTTGCTGGGTAAATGCAACAAGTAGGTGGTGAATCAAACAGCTAGGGATTTCTTTTGGTTCTGTTTTTCTTCTATTTTCCGGGGGCCACATTCATAATAGCAGGGGGAAATCCCCACCCTCTCGCTCTTAATGACAGCCTCGTCAATTAGGCTATTACTGTATCTTACTTTCTTGGCTTAACTAGCTTTTTTTGGTATAATTGTATTTGGATCCAGTTACATAAGCAATTAAGTATTTTTTTAAAAACTAACATCACAGGATTAGAGTTTTTTTGGACAAAGCCAGATTGCTTGTAGCACAAACGTTAACTGCTCATCACCAACCAGAACACTCTTTGAAAGGCTTGTGGCCTAAAAAGGCAACCTTCTTAAGACATTAAAATAGTGAAAACCTCAAACCCTTGAAAACAATATCCAGCACATACTTGTTTAGGCCAGACAAGGGAGTGACCCCTCCCCCACCCCCCACCCATGGTCCTGAATAAATCTACTACTCTGTCTTGCACTTATTAACTGCTATATCAGTCCTTTTAATTTGCCCTGAAAAAACTTGTGAAATGATTAAAAGGAGTAATAAAAAAGGGGTGTGTAGAATTTAAAAAATTGATTTTATATGTGTGACTCAATGTCTAGTAGCCCAGTATTTTTTATTGCGGCCTACAAAATAAGGACAGAAATAAACATAACAAGGGTAAGAATCCCAACCGGCCAGAGACAAACCAGTTGGCTATTTACAATTGTGACCAACTGGCACAACAGGGAAAAAATACAGCTAGTGGTTAGGGCAGTGATTAACCTTTTAAGTCCCAACAGTGACTGACATAAATTTTCTCCTAATAATATCCATACACTGTCAAGAGATTAGGTCATGAGAATTAATAAAATGATCACGCAAAAGAAAATGCATTGATCTATTATCAAATTCTCTCATCTAATTCTTTAGGAAATGTATGGAAACCAGTTTGGAGAATTTGTATGTGGATACTGGGGCTTAAAGGGTTAAATGTGAGGCCTTCTGACTGTAATTTCAGCACTTTAATAATTATAAAACCATTCGGCCAAGCTGCCTCCTTAATAGAGACCTTTAGATTCTACGATCAGTATGACAACGAGTACAAGATTTGACTTAAAAGCTTTTTCACGTATTCTCAAAATATTGACTCCCCAGAAAGCTTCATTTTACCATTTTTCAGTAGAAAAGTTAGCACTGTTAACTTTTAATAGTAAAGGAGGTTACACCCTCTCCCGATCGCAAAATTAATGATAAAACTTCTAACATTATAACTTGTTTTTGCCACCTTGACATTTTAGCTAAAACTTGTAGTAGAGTGACGACGGCTACTATATTTCCCGCCAAAATGACGCTGGTTCACAAGCGCGCACTACTTAGTATTGAGAAAATCTCGTACTCATTGTCGTACTCATCTTAGCAGCTAAAGGTCTCTAATAACTTCTATGTGACTCTTGATCTTAAGTCATATATTATTCATTAGTTTTACAAGCACATACATTGAGGGTAGAACGTGGCTTAACTCTAACACCTCCTGGGATATCAGGATTTGCCACCACATAGTCTTCCCAATTAACTTCAATGTTAAAATGGTCCAGATGTGCCTCAAAAAAGTTGGAATTGTGAATAGAGATAGTACTCTGCAAAGTAACAAAATGATCAGAATGAAATGTTTATTGTGAGCCATCAAAATGATTTCTATGAGAAAACAGACTAACTGTATATATGCACCTAGGCATCCATCCCATAGCATTGAGGACCACTGGGAGGCCACAGACACCACTCCACTCTGATCACTCCCTGATTTCGTAATCTCTTAAAGCATTGCATATAACTTCAACCCTATTCACTTGAATATACAATGTCTATTTACTGTAAATCCTCTATTAAGCCCCTATTTTTTTCAAGCACTTTTGAGGGGGGTGGGGGCTTAATAGCGAGAGAGAGGGTTTAAAAGAGAGGGGAGGCTTATTTAATTTAGCAAAATGCATCAATGGGACAGACTTGCGGTTCCTGGGCGTTATACTGCTTTTTCTAACAATAAGAAAATGGTAGCAATTCTCCACAGAGAACTAGAGCATGAAGTTGAAAAAGTTCAGCACATGAAGTTGGAGGTCATGCAGCCGAAGACCAAAAACAAAATTTATGAATTTCCAGCCTAAAGAAACCATAACTGATTAGTCCATGTTAATTATTGTTTGTGAAGAATAAGGATGGAGGGGAGGGGGAGGGGGGCAGCTTATTAGAGAGGGGGGGCTTAATAGAGGATTTACGGTAATATATTTATAATAGGGTTGAGTCTGCGGGCGGGAAAGATAAAGCAAATTCTATGTTCTGATTGGCTAATTGAGCGGACAAGCTGGACTCTCTTGCCTACTCATGATTTCCCATGTTGGTCCCAAAAGGGACCATATAATAAATTCCTTATTGACCAGGCTGGTTTGTTCGAGATGGCTGTATATTGGCCTAGTTCTCTCTTACATTTTTATTGACCTCAACTTCATCTTGGTCAATAAAAAATGCAAAAAAAAAGACTTGGCCCATATCCAGGTAAGGTCCCTCGGGAAACAAGTTAGTTTTGTTCTCCCTCGAGTCTTGATGTTATCAGGACTGTCGGAAAAACAAAACTAACTGTTTCCCTGGAGATCTGACATTAAGTGTATAATAGAAACAGAAAGAAAGGAAACAACCAACCACCGAAAAAAATTCTCCCTATGAGCAATGAAAACTTTGAAGCACAAACTGTTCAATACTCACATTTATAATGATAAACGGATCTGAACTGTTTGATCTTGGTATTGAAACATTCACCGGAGCTGCACTTTCCAAATGAATTGTAATATTTCTAGGGAAAAAGATGACTCCGACAACTGTGGCAATCGCCAAGCAGAAAAAAATTGCCAAGAGGAGATACAGGACCCTGAAAAATAACATTAACATGAAAACTTTACCTTACATATAGGAAGCTTTGGAGTCATTCACTCTCGTCTAAATTCCCTACAGACACCATACCCGCGTGTGACAACAATAACGACAGTGACGCCATATGCTATTGCGTGTGCGTGCCTCCAGAGAGATCACCAAGAGGACTAAATTTGCATTCAACACTCCTTAAATACTCTAAAAAAATCCCTAGCTAATTCATAACAACGAGAGCATATTTTTTTGCTAATTTTCAAAAACGCGGAAAAATCTTATTCTCTAGAATGCAAACAGTTAAGGTTAAAACATAATTTTCCAGATAAATATATTATTAGAATATTTTCACCCTTTAAGCCCCAATGTGCACATACATACTTCTCCAAACTGATCTGTATACATTTCCTTAAAGAATCAGTCGAGAGAATTTCATAAAAGATCAAAGCATTTTCTCTTTAGTGATCATTTCATTATTTCTCATAACCTTATCTCTTGAAAAGGTATGGATATCATTGGGAGAAAATTGATGTTTGTCACTATTGGGACTGGGATTTTTCTTTGTCCAGGAAATGAAGCAGGAGAGCTATAGTGTGTGTGTCGGGGGGCGGGGGTTGGAGGGAGAGAGGAAAGTTTTTTCATTGCCCTGAATTTCTGTCCCTTTTTCAGACTCTGGCACTTGATTTCTCATGCCAGGCCGCTTAGATTCCTCTGGGCACCCTTGCTGTTTACTTAATTCTTTTATTTATTTAAACTTTATGTATTTTACTATAGTGACAAGTAAATGAACCGAACTGATCGCCAATTTGCCACAAGAACCACAAGCAATAAAACCTTCTAAATTTTCTGAATATTTTGTTTTTATGTCACAAAGACTTAGCACATTAGTTCAAAATGATGAAATCAATATATTTGAAATATTTGCAACATTAATAGTTCAAGACTGAATCTTGCTGTTGTTGCTGGGTTTTGCCTTGTTAGGGGAAATAATAACAACCATATTTAAGAGTATGATGACAAATATTTCTTAAGGGGAAGATAACTCACGTTCTTCTTGGCTTAAGTCTTCTGTCTCTCACAGGAATTAATGCTACTAGGTCATGTTCTTGCTCTGATGAAAACAAAAAGATTGACATTTGACATGTTCAGTGGCAGGATAAGAGGAATTTCAAAAAAATCAGAAGCATCATACTTACACCTTTTTCCACAGTATTAAAGGAAGTTTTAGCTACAAAAATGGCCGACATTATGGTGAGCATCAAAGATATAATATGTTTAAAGTTATTAAACAACACCTCTGCTCATGCATCACGCTTTTGGTATATTTCTTTGCTATCACTGCAAAAATAAGACTCGAAATTTCCGGCAGCAATGTGTTATGGAGGACGTAAACAACCTGACAACCAATTTTTTCTTTCTCCTTCTAAACTTAGGTGCAGTCCCATGAATTTATCAACAAGAGATTTTTCTTTCACTTCTATTCTTTTTTCTCTCTCTAAACTTAGACTGTGTGGTCTTCACAAATTCAACTACAGGAAAATGTACCTACACTTGGCACATTAGTGAGTTGGAACAATTTTGACAAAGTTTCAACAAATACAAATTCCTGTTAATAGTGATGCTTTCACTGCACCAGACCATGCAGATATTCAGCTTCAAAATAATGTGCATTCAAGGCTGTGCTCTAAGGAAAATTAAAGGTAGCCCAGTGCTCTGAACCTGTAAAATCTAGGGTGCCTTGCATATGATTTGTATAAAAAATCCAAGATTTTCTAGATGCCCAAGAGCAAAAGTTGGGCGCTAGGGGGCCACTGGACTCTGTGACAGCACAGCCCTGGCATTTTATCTGTCATCATAACCAACCAATTAGCCTGCCTAGCTGGCGGTATTGTCTTGGTGTGTGATTAAAGTTTTGGCGGTGGAGCAGTGATCCAAAAAAGGGAGTGGGACGAGGCATTTGAAATACTGCCTGCCAGAATACCCCAGTATTCTGAATAGTCTGCAAACCAGTGTGCAGAGAAAATGGATTGGTCGAGGGCCATACATATGTCAATCATGTTAAATGATTCTTTGCATATTTCCCAAGGGAGCAGATGGCAAACTGTTGAGGAAAATAATGGCAGACTCTGCTGAATTAAGTATCGATAAAGCTCCACAACGTCTTTATGTGAGCAGAGAGAAACAGAAAATTATTCTTAAGAGGGAGCAGGAAACGGCTGTGAAGCAGCTGCTTGCTGGGCATGTTGTTATGGCAATTTTGCCCACAGGGTTCGGCAAAAGCAACAACTGATAATAAGTTTTGACTGCTCAATAGCAAAGGAAATCGCGATGGTATTTTTGTCAAGGGAAGGAGGCACACTTTGCTTTATTGTTACAAGTGAGGCTGAGGAAAACATTTCATATTAAGAAAGATCAGAAAAACCACAGTAAAGAAGTCGATAATTTCCTGAAACAGAATGCTCACAAGCAAGGAACCTTGCACAGGAAAAAATAATGGATTCCCATTTTTGGATATTTCAGGGTATTTAAAGAATACCCACAAAAATCCCAAATTTGGAACAGTGAGACAAGTCCCAATCAGGGAACTTGGTTGGGAATTCCCTGGTTGGGACTTGTCTCACTTTGCCAAATTTGGGGTTTTTATGGGTATTCTTTAAATACCCTAAAATATCCGAAAATGGGAATCCGTTATTTTTTCCTGTGTTAAAATAAAAACGGATCAAAATCCTCCAATCACAAATTACAAACCGTCACCTTTTGAACTCTTTGAAATGAACATCTGTTGCCTTAAAGGTCTGCTAAGTTGAGGTCATAAAAGCGGGCGGCTTTCAAAAAATCATGCTTCTCTGGCAGGCGGTATTTCTATTTCTCGTGGCTTACACTGCTCGTGATGGCTTCGCCACCAAATCTCACTCGACTACTACACAATACCACCAGCTACGCAGGCTACTAGCCAACAGACATATCTTTGTCACACATTTTCTGATGACGTACTGCTATTTGCAATTCTCAGATTCTCAGGTGTGGAGGTGTGGGACTCACACAGACAACACCCAGATGCATGACAGTAAACTCAACAACAACCTCTTACAACTTAAATAAATCACTTCTGAGGACCTCATCCACCAGGTGAGTAGAAACCTCGATCTACAATACAGTGCATGAAACCTCTTTTAAGCGGACACCTTCAGGACCGTCCCAAGTGTCTGCTTAATAGAGGTGGTAAAAATTACGCGATTTTGTCAACGATCAAAATTCAACAGTTACTCTGTACTGTGATAAAGTTCTGTGTTGTTAAATAAGCTATCCAGAGTTCAAGTTCATTACCATCTTTAATTTGGGTGTAAATGCAAAAACGTCAGCTGATTTCATGGACTTAATACAGTACTACTATTGTCAATTCGGTCCAGCGTCTGCTTAATAGAGGTTTTTAACAATAGAAATTAGCCAAATACAACTTATTTTAGCAGTCTGCGTCCGCTCAATAGAGGTGTCCGCTGAGTGGGGAAATATAAGAAGTTCATTTCGCGACTCGGCCTAGTCAGGTCCGCTTAATAGAGGGTGTCCACTTGATTGGGGGTCCGCTTAATAGAGCTTTCACTTTTCACAGAACTGTAGGAAGTAACAGCAAATGTAGCAACATTAACAAAAGAATAATTTCAATTTATGTATTAAATGGCTTAATCAAATTTGTACGCCTCAGCGCGACACGTTCTGAAATGCATGCAAACGAGATATTCATAAGCTTAAGTTTAATATTAAAAGGCTCTAGTTTCAAATTACGCAGTGATAAACCTTATTGTCCAAAATAAAAGGACTTTCCTAACAGTTCTATCGCGCGCAGAATGAGTCACTCATTAAAAAAAAGTAGACAAGCTGACCTTTGGTGAGCTTCCCCGTTCCTCCACAAGTTGGGCACCTTTGGGTGAGTGAATCGCTATTGACAAGCTCATTTATAGGCCTCCTGTCGAATTCTGGAAATGTCTGATACGAAGGAGGTTCTGGTGGAGTTGAAGGAGCTATCTGATTGAACTCTGACGCATTTCCGTCACTGGTTGGGTCAGACAGGATGTTCTTCTGGAAAGTCGTCATATTCTTTCCGCGATTTCTTCCCAACCAGCGAGTGACTCCTTCCGTTATCTTCATTTTTGCTTTAATACCGGTCAGCGGATATGCAAACAAAAATTACTTAAGGTCCCAGAGTACTTTGCAAGCAACCAGAACCAAAATGGCCGCCGGTGGGACTCTTTCTTGCAGAGCAAAGGTTTGTTATTCCACCTGTTATTATGACGAAGCGAAATTGCAGTGAGTGCTTAGTATGTAGCGATGCAAAACACTCAGATTCTTTCATTAAGTATTCATTCCTTCAAATGTGTTTTATCCTAGCTCCTCTGAAGGAGAAAACTTAACATTGGTTGTGACCAAAAAAGAATGATTCTCTAGCGAAGCTATTACTTTTAAACGCTTTTACTGAAGGTTAGTCCAGCCTGTCCAACCATCCCGATCTCGTCGGGATTCTCCCGATTTTGCTTGAAAATCCCGAATACCGAGAAACATATGCGATCGGGATAGGAAAAATCTCGATTTTGACATCTGTTTTGATTTTTCAAACGAATTCTTATGATAAATACACAAGAACACCTAAGAGAGTGTACTTAACTGAAACTGATACCCAAAAACCATAAATATACCACCTGAAATATAAAACAAAATCGAATATTTGTACGTGAAAACATGCAAAGAAAAATAGGCATAAAAATAACAATCAATTTAGCGAACATTTTAGAAAGAAATCGCCCTCCCAGAACACAAGAATAGCATACATGCCAACCCTCCCGAATTATCTGGGAGTCTCCCGGATACGACACCAATCTCCCGGTCTCCCGTACAGGTCGCTTTATCTCCCGGATAATATCATCTTTTGAGCTTTTCTGTTCCTTAGTTTGAAATTTAGCCCATTTTTAGCTCAAAACTTGAATTTTTCTTGTTCGTAATACTGTTTCTGAGGCATTTTACACCTATTTAGTCACTGACAAAGATTATTTCTGGCATCAAAACGATGATCGCGAATTTTGATGGTATCTACTTCATGTAAGACTTGATATAATGTCCTAAATTTCCAGGGGTTGTGGGCTAATGGAAAACAGAGAGTCTCCAGATTTTAAATCTCCAGAGGTTGGCATCTCTGGAATAGTGTTTCAGAGCATCAAAATTTTGCTCATGTGATTCGTTGGTTATAAAAAAAATATCCAAATTTTACATACTCGAAAGGTTGGACAGTCTGGGTTACTAATTACATAACTATAAAAAGATAGCTTTGTGTCTATTATTGAAGAAGAAGCAGGGATGTCACTAACATTAAGCATGTTACGCCGTTGCTTATTCAACTTCATTGGCTACCAATTGAACAAAGGATAACTTTCAAAATTGCAGTAATTACATTTAAGGCGCTTCATGGTGATGCACCTAGCTACATCACTGATCTCATCAAGCCTTATACACCTGGTAGACTTCTTAGATCCTCCAATCAATTTTTACTTTCTGCATCTAAATTTGATCTTAAAACTTATGGTGGCCGGTCTTTTACTATTGCTGCACCTTCTGTTTGGAATGCACTTCCATTCGAACTGAGATCTTGTAATTCCCTTTCTTCTTTTAAATCTAAGCTCAAGACTTGGCTTTTTAAAATTGGTTATGATGTTGTCATATAGAATGATGATGTTTTTATAGGATGACAATGTAGTTTTGTTAGTTTTGTAGGTTTAGGATTTTGTTGTTATTTTTATTATGTAAAGCGCCTTTGGACCATTGGGAATTTTCATAGAATGACAATGTAGTTTTGTAGGTTTAGGATTTTGTTGTTATTTTTATTATGTAAAGCGCTTTTGGACCATTGGGAATTAGCACTCTATAAATACTGTATATTATTATTATTATTATTATTATTATTATTATTTCAACTAGTGCCGGGTAAATGCGACAAGTGGGCAGGGAATAAAACAGCTAGGGATTTCTTTTGGTTCTATTTTTCTTCTATTTTCCTACGAAAGTAGCCGGGGGCCTACTTCATACATATAGCAGCCGGGGGAAATCCCCGGCCCCGCCTCTTAATGCCTGCCCTGAATAAGATTAATATTGTGATTTGTCAATACACAACTGACCTGTCACTAGTCAAAATTAAATCACAATAACAAAACTACAGGGTAATAATGACCCTTCTGATGAATGTTTTCAATTCTTGATGGATGCCAATGTAATGTACATTATTTTCATCTCAGGTGTTTCGACCTTTTGTAGGCTTTGTGAAGAATTACCTTGGCCTTTTATCAGCAACACAGGTGAGTAGAATTTTTTCCAACTCTTGCACCATTGTTTAGAAGGTCATAATTATAGTCCACTCTTTCTAGGGTGGACACATTTAGGACCAGCACTGAGTGTCCTTGTTAGAGAGATGTACATTGTATGGACAGTCAAAGACAATGACTAAAGAATGGCAAGGATCAATTTACTTTGTGTCCACTTTACCAAGGTGTCCACGTTTTAGAGAGTCAAATAAGGGGTTAAAGAGAGGCTGGGGCCAACTGTAGGTGTCCATTTTAGCATGGCGTCCATGTTATGCAGAGTCAAACAAGCAGCCAAAGAATGGCAGGGACCAGCTTTAGGTGTCCATTGCACCAAGGTGTCCATGTTTTGGAGAGTCAAATCGGGGTTAAAGAAAGGCAGGGGCTAACTTAAGTTGTCCATTTTAGCAAGGAGCCCATGTTTTGGAGAGTCAAATGAGGGGCTAAAGAAAGGCAGGGACCAAATTTCAGGTGCCCATTTTAACAAGGTGCTTGCCTTATAGAGAATCAAATAAGAGGCTCAAGAATGACAGGGAATCCATCTTAGCGAGGTGTCCATGTTTTTGAGAGTCAAATTTGGGGCCAATGAACGGCAGGGACCAACATAAGGTGTCTGTTTTAGGAAGGTGTTTGTCTTGTAGAGAGTCAAACAAAAGGACTAAAGAACGGCAGGGGCGGACTCTAGGTGTCCGATTTAGGGAGGTGTCTGTTGTACATAGAAGTGAAGAAATGACTTCAGAATGGCGGGCATTGTCTGTAGCAGTCTGCTTTAGGGAGCTGTTCATCTTATAGAGAGTCAAATAAAAGGACTAAAGAATGCCAGGGGCCGACTCTGCATGTCCATTTTAGTGAGGTGTCTGTCTCATAGAGAAGTGAAGAAAATGACTTCAGAATGGCGGGCATTGACAGTAGCAGTCTGCTTTAGAGAGCTGTTCATCTTATAGAGAGTCAAATAAAAGGACTAAAGAATGGCAGAGACCAAGTCTAGCCCTAACATTGACATGATACATTAGCCTTGTACATAACAGCAACAAAAATGAAACGTGATCAAATGAGATACGCTGAGGCAATGAAAAAGTTTTTTTTGAATTTACCTACCTCTTCTAAATTTTCCTTTATGATTATCCACACTCCAAAATCAAAGACGTTCTTCAAAATCCAAAAACACAATTTGAAATAGTCAAACATGCCATGGCCGCTTACTCCAAACGCTCGACCTCTAAACTTGCGTGAGCTACATAAAGTATTTGTAAAAGATATAGCCCGAGAAATTAGTTAGAATTAAACCCCACTTTACGGACATCTGCTTAATACTGACACCTCGTTATTACAGACAGTTTTCTTTGTCCTGGGAGAAAGCTCTTCCATTTTCTCTAAATTCAACCCACTTTATACGGACATCCATTGGTGCAGACAATTGTGGACTTTCTTTTCTTGCCCCATCAGCAGATTCTCCTAAAAAAAGTCAGGGGCACCCAACGACAATTTTTGGAAAATATCTGTTCGGAAGACGATTTGAGATCTAGAATTTTCGGAACATTTGTTGTTAAATTTCTTGCTTGCCTGCCTCTCCTAGGATTTTCGACATCCCCCCCCCCCCAAAAAAAAAAAAAAAACAAATATACATATATTAATAAACTATTATTATATAAAAAAAGTCAGGGGCACCCAACGACAATTTTTGGAAAATATCTGTTCGGAAGACGATTTGAGATCTAGAATTTTCGGAACATTTGTTGTTAAATTTCTTGCTTGCCTGCCCCTCCTAGGATTTTCCACCCCCCCCCCCCAAAAAAAAAAAAAATAGTATAATTGCCCATTTTAAACGAATTTTCACCCTAAAAAGGTCACCTAGAATTTTCGGGAGCCTTTATTCTGGCTGAAATTTTCGAAAAAGTAAGTTTTGATCCCTATAATTTTCGGATCACTAGACTCTCAGCTAGGAAATCCGAACAGATGAAAAAGTTTTAGGGGATAAAAATATGCCTATATCTCCCGTTTAAATACTAAAATACGTTCAAAAATGCTATGTTTAAGTGGTTTTAAAGCATGTTCTCGTTGGGTGCCCCTGAAAAGTCAACCTTGCTAATTCAGACACTTTATTATCAACTGTGTGCTGTTTAAAAAGACCTTTCCTTTATGAAGGTAAAAAAAACCTTCAGTTGATATCATGTCGATGTTCTTAGCCCTAGAGAACACCGAACAGGATGAAATGTAGACTTCAAGTTCAGATTATTTTGGCACCAAACGAGTAGCAGACAATATACTTTCTGTTCTTGCCCCATCAACATATTCTAAAAAAGCCAACCTTGCTAATTCAGACACTTTATTGTCAACTGTGTGCTGTAAGAAACCTTTCCTTTATGAAGGTTAAGAAAACCTTAAGTTGACAGCATGTCGATTCTTAGTGCTACGGTACCCCGAATAGGATGAAATGTAGATATCAAGTTCAGACTATTTTGGCATCAAACAAGTTATGCAGACATCGCATTTGATTGAATAATATAGAGATGAGCGATTTTTGAGTGTTTCTTTGGATTTGGTCTCCGGAATGACGGCTTTCTGATTGTTAGAGATGTTTTATTTGACGATCCTTATGTCCTTCCCTTAGGTTAAAGCTTACATTTGTATTGCCACAAATCTGTGTCTTAGCTAAGCTCCAGCTAACCTCGAGGCGAGCCCAAATGATTGTTTTTGCCATTTTCTAGTTTCATTTTGGTTTCAGTCAAAATATGGACTTTCGCAAAATTTACGATCGAAACTGCCGGTTTTCGAAAGGGTTGGCAAGGTTAAATTTTTGTCAGCTGCTTTGTTGAAATACTTTCAGGTTATTGGTCCATGTGCTAAAAAATAATTAAAAATCTTTTAACCCATTCTCCCCTGAACCGATCCTAACAGCCCGCTATGATCACGTCACTTGTAACGCCTGTGACGTCATCCGTTTTAACTATTCAGTCAAACGGGCCGGAGAAAAGCGCAAGAAACCATGTATAGGTGACCCGAAAATTCCAATGAAAATCCTTTTTCACCACCCACTTGTATTTCCTTTTATCTAATTCTTCAATCCTAAAAGTTTTCTTGAAAACTTTTCCCACCAAAATAGTGCCTAGTGAACGCCCAGCAAAAGAAACCATTTTTAAAAAACGGGGCAACGAAAGTGAAAGAGGCGGGAAGGATTCAAATTTTACCTTTTACACAAGCACGAAGTTCGGAAGCGGATATTTTGCATCAGGATCAAACTTAGGCAGTGAAGTGCTCGACTTATAAAACAGCGTTTCAGGCAGCTTTGGTTCTTTTTGACCAGATAGTGACCAGAAAAAGGCTCGACTAACTGTTAATAGGTGATTTTTCGGCAAAATTTCCAGGAGAAAATGGGTTAAAATATTGGCGAGCGAAGCGCGTAAGAGATGCGCGCGGGGAAAGGTGGGAAAGGGGAAGACGCTCCTTCCCGTCGTCCCCATTTTTGCCCCGCGACCGATCCGTGACCGCGCACAAATGATAAGAGACAAATGGGCATGAGTCAGGTGAGTGTCTCGCGGAGCAGTGGTTCGTGTAGTCATTGTCATAACCCAGTTTCGGGTCGAGGGCTCGGGAGTATTCTTTTCCTCTGCGTCATGACAGTTAATTCCAAACTCCCAGTTGGGGTCCATTTCCATCTTCACAATACGCAGCCCTATACAATCGAGTTGCAGGGAGGTGTAGAGAGTTGCAGAGTTGGTTGCCTGCAAAGATTTCGTTCACCATTTTGAAACTCGCGTAGCCTCTCAGTATAGACTTCATTTCTGTAGAGCTAATATTAAGCAGTTCAGTATCCTTTATTGAGGACCAACAATCTGGAATTCGTTGCCAATTTCACTAACCAGCTCATCCTTCATGTTTGTTTTTTTTTTAAAAATCTGAATAATCTCATTGATAGTCGTTGTGTCGCTTAATTTTTATGTTTTCTGTACACTCTACAACTCAAGTAAGTAATTAGAAATCTAGCTTATAGACTATTAAGGAAGCCTATAAATATAAGCTCTCAGCTTCTTTAGGCTTCATTGTCACATTAACTTATAATTTAATTATCACCTTTTGTAACGTTTTATTGTTTTGTTTTGTGAGTGACTAAAAAACAAACAAATAAATAAAGATAAATAAATAATGATTAGTACACCTCTGTAATTCACTGTCGGGGATGCAATTTACTATCTTTCTATACAGCTATTTCGAGAAAGGTTGTCAGAAAAAATGTGCACGTGACAATCCCGAAAAGTAATATGGGATGTGATCAATACGCTGTTCCTAACGACTGTAGCTGTCAAACCTACTTTTGTTGTCTTCCTTTAGCACTCGCAAACATACGTCCATGGCCTCTCGTGCCATTCTTTCAAATTTCTTTGAAGAACAGTTCACTCAAAACCACCCACAATACCTTTCGGGATCGTCGCGTGGACTTTTTCCGACAACCTTTCTCGAAATAGCTCTATGTATCGCACTACAGTGCGCTCACTGAATCTGAGTCCTATACAAAAGTGAACTGGTTGGTTCCAGCACCGCCGACACCACAGCTGTAATATGCGTTTACAATATATCTGATCTTTTTAACTGTTGCTTAATCACAGGTGCCGAATATTCTGCTTTGCTGTCATCGTGCAACAAAAACTCCGCTTCCGATTCGCTACAAGTATCGGGACCAGTTAAAATACGGGATTTACGCCGCGCAACCCGCGCTTGTGAAGGACTGTGCTCTAGAATCCGCCCGCCTCGCCATCGTGCGAGCAACCAAAACGAGGCAGCTCTACATGATCAAGGCGCACATCCCAGTGACAAAAAAGCCCTTGGGGAGTCGTATGGGGAAAGGCAAAGGCAAGGTGGACCATCACGTGGCTAATGTAAAGGCCGGAAAGATTCTGTTTGAGTTTGAATGTGACAGTGAGCCTAATGCTTTGGAGGCTTTTAAGCAAGTAAATCATAAACTGCCAATTCGCACGCAATTTAGGATTAAACCACCTGAGAAGAGAGAGATATGGACACATTTTTGAAATAAATATTTTTCGTAACCAAAAACGTAGTTGTAGTAACCTTCCTTGCACTGTTCTGCAGTTGGTTTCGTTGGGCTTCTGAGGTGAGGAGTGTGAACAATGGGAGGGATTAGCCTCAAATTCGCCACTTCAGAAACGAGGAGGTGAATGGAACCAAGATGCGTACCGCAATTGTTTCTGGGATCGTTATTACCGACTCGCCGATCAGCTATTGGCCAACTTCTTCTCTGTCCCTGATAATTGTCCCAGAAGCCTTTGCGAAGTTAACTCGTCCCAGTTTCCTTCTCTTCCCACTTCAGAGACGAAAAGGGAAATGGAACCAAGATACATCCCGCAATTGTTTCTGGGATCGTTACAGGCGACGCGCCGATCAGTTGTTGGCCAATTTCTTCTTTGTCCTTGGTAACAGTCCCAGAAGCCTTTGCGAAAGTTGACTCGACCCAGTTTCCTTCTCTTCCCACTTTAGAGACGAGAAGGGAAATAGAAACAAGATGCGTCCGGCAATTGTTTCTGGGATCGTTTACTGGCGACGCGCCGATCAGCTATTAGGGACTTTAAGATCCAACGACGCGATGGTAACGAGAATGTTGCTTAAAAAGTGAATTTGCTTTCTTTCAGTCTTTATCACAATTATTCCTACCCACTTACTTTGTCAAATGAAGGTAAACCCTCCTGGAGTTGAATTCCTAAGGACCAATCCAAGTTCAGAAAAAGAAATAAAATTTCGTTGTTGCTTGTTTACGTCCTCCATAAAAAGCAAAATCTGGGCATTTTCACGTCGTAGTCGTGCAAGAACGGGAAAAAGTTGTTGTTTTGCTTATAAAACCTATTGTTTTGTTTTTTTTTGACGTTCTCGTTGTCGTCCGCGTCGTTGGATCTAAAGTGACGAATGAGTGCTATGGGAGTCAGCAGGGGAGGCTTGGAACCAAGTGGATGACGTCACATTCAAAATCATCGAGAAAGACTGAGAACGATTTGGGGATGAAAGACTAACAAGGACTGTGTTAAAGATGGATTGTTTTGAGACAAGTAGTGGGCCTTCTCTGCTCCAAGAGGTTTTTCAGTCCGGGTATTCCGGTTTTCCCATCTCCTCAAAAACCAACAATCCAAGTTATAAATCAATCTGGAAAGTTTCTGCAATTAGTTGGGGACAGTAAGATGGACATAGGTTTGTCAGTTTCAAGGACTGACGTCCGCTCTACGTTAGTTTGATTTGTTTTTTGTTTGTTTGGTTGGTTTTTGGTCCTCTCGAGCGCTCTCGTACATTACGGCGGATCTAAGAACCCTAAGATTGGCTTACTATTGAGCAAACCACATGCAGACTTTCGTTAAACCGCCCCTTACTTCGTAGATTGCACCCACTGAATCGAGTCGTGAAAACGGGCGAGTGAAGTAAGTGGCGGGTAGACCCACCTATCATGTAAACGTGATCAAATTAAAATGAGAGATTATATGGACAGGCAGGTTACCCCACCTAACCGGGTTATTTTACCCCACCCAGGAACCTGCCTCACCCACGAGTCACCTACCTGGGGTCCCCCACCTCCATGTTAACAGGCCCTAAAACGGTCGGGTGTGATAATAATGTTACTTAGCATCGGCTAATAAAGAAACTTACAGAGGACACGTGTCAATGATTCAATTTTTTTGTTCTCGCAAGTATCGAGAAGCACGTTTCGCTACACAGGGCACCCAGTAGGCTGTAGTGAGTCTGGGTGTCCTGTGGTTGCTACGGAAGAAACATTATGCACTTAACACTCAATTACCTAAAGAAGTGGCTAAGCTTTCATGTGGTGTGCGGCTGAGTAAACTTGAAAAGGGGCTTTGCCACACTATTTGCTATCATTTTTAAAAGCTAAAACTTTAAGAGCATCAATTGAATTCCAAAAATAACGTCCCAGGTTTGTTAATAAAGACTTTATTTAGGCACGAAAGCTGTTTTCTGACGTCTATTGCAAAGGATGGCAAGGATGGACGTGGATATTAATAATTTTTAAGCACTATTTAATATAAATCTCAGTGTATTTTTTTATGTTAATTAGTTTAGTTGTGGGGCCACGGGTTTATCAGCTTCTGCTCTCTTTTAAGTGTTTGGGCTCATTTTAAAATAAAGTTGATTGATTGATTGAAACTTTGAAAAAGTTGAACCAACCTTTTCAAGTTTTAATGCTATGCCTGAAAAAAATCACCTGCTATCTTCTTCAGAAAACAACAGGAACATTTTGTGAATGGGCAAAGGTACTACAGAATTCAGTGACCTTAAACAGTAATATCCTCGTGCATAGCCCCTTTGAAGGGAACTTGTAACAAGGGCTTTTTCTTAACAGATTTGAAAGATGAAAATTTCAATACGCATGCATATATATAAATTGAAGAGGCAAAAGCAAGTTAACCATCACTTTGCGAAAACGTCTCTTTCTGTAATTATCTATTACTTGTATCATTATCTCCAGCCAGAACACTTAACCTGTTTTAATTACTATTCCTTTTTTTAAAAAAAAGCTACCAGCTGCCATCCCCATCATCTTTCCACGAGCAGCGTAATTCCGCAGTTTCCAAAGGTTAGAAGGTCACTAATTAAGAGTCCTTAATAACTGTCAAAAGCTATCTCAGCACATGTTGAGATGCTATCATGCTTTTATCTTCGCCATTTTCGCCCAGTAACGGCCGCAGCTTGTCTAATTTTTGTATGCGAGGCGGTGCGCACTCATTCTTTTCTTTGTAAGACGGGATTCACGCATGAAGGGACATGTATACTAGGACACCTTTGCACCTTACCTTGTAACCGATCTTAAAAGGCGGACTAAATCGCCGAAACAATGCCGGGCCTAATTTTGGAATTTTCCATTCCTTATCATATGGAAATGTTTCTTGAAGGGCATTGTTTTACCATACAGTCAGGGGCTTTAGCTTTATCGACGGTCTCCTTCCGAAGGGTTCAAGACCTACTTCAGCCTGTCTAGAATGAAAACAGCCTGTCTAGCGTGTTCTCTCTCTGTAAATGCATTCTAAGCTGCGCTATAAAATTTCTATATGTTCGGTCATCCCAAGGCAACTTTAAACCTTTCGAAGTTATAAGGACTTTCCTATTATCCTCTCGTGAACCGTAGACGCTATTTTATGGTTTACGAAAACTTGCGATTTTCTGATTGTTCTTTCGCGCCCGTCACTATTTTCAAAACTGAAATTTCAGGTTTTTTCATCTTGAATACCGGCCAAATCTGGGATAATCTAGCTTCCGAAAATTGCTAGGAAGTTAATAGCCTTACTCCAAAAATCATTTAATGGGAAAAGAAATTTAGAATTTTTTAGCATCAGTCTCATGTTGACTCATGGGCTTCTTTGTCTCTATAGATTACGAGCAATATTGTTTCTTCGAATATATACTTAACTTAAAACTGAGTACAGGTTTTGTGCTGGGTGCCACCTTATTATATTAATCCACTCTCCCTAAAATCAAAGAATAGTAGGAGCTCTTCTTACTTCGGGCTCTCTTTTTCTTCTTCTTCTTCTTTTGTAATGATCTTATTTGCGATCGTATTTGCGGAGTGTATCTACTGATCCTACTAAAAAGCTAACCCCCATAATATCACCCGCTTTACGGAACCTATTCTCAGTTTCAATCATTCGTGATCTTCGAGATTGAAGTTTAATTTATACATACCAAAAAACTTGTAATAAAACCGCATATCAACAACTCTAAGCTGTAAATAATTTTACTAAAAGTGGCTGCTATTAATAAAGTAGAGCCCCCACAGATTCAAGGAAGTCTTTGGCACAATTATCCGGATGTGCAACGAAGCTGAGATCACGCACGATCAATTTGACTGATGGGCCGGGCGTTTGGACGGTTTTGTCTCGGACACGTGGATCAGTTATTTGTAATGGCATTCGAAGAGCCCTGCGCACTGAATGCAACGTCAAGGTAGATTAGAGTTCGCACCTGCTTCATACTTGGATAATAGCTTAATTTAAGGGCGGTAGTTAATTGGTAATTCTCAGCTTAGATCTTATCAATCTCTTTGCGCAATTTATAGCCCTGACATCTTGCTTTCTCCGCGGGCACGAAGGCAGGCATTGTGTTTGAGTGAGAAACTGGCAGGTGAAGTTTCTTTCCACTATGAGAAGCTTCACGCTCCAGTTGGCGAATGAGCTTTACTGCCGGTTCGCTTATTGTGTCATCTTGTAAACATGCAATTATTAGAGCCAGGTGTGAAAAGACAATTCGGCCGGCACGTGGGACGGGTTTAACTTTGTACAAAACTAGAATAACAAACCTGTTTGGCAAATCACATTTGTCTAATAAACTGTCTACACTACCAACCCTGTAGTTAGCTGGTATTTTGCTTCTCCACGTTTTACCATAGTTCGTAAAGCACTCATCACATATGCGCGTATAAAATATATATTACAAGGCTCGGAATTCAGTAACGACTTTGCATATGGCAATCTTTAGACTTCTCAGCTCTATTCGAATAATAGTGGTTAACATTAGTTTTTTTGCTAGTTTTTTCTTCAACACAAACTCAGACAATATTAAGTCCACGCTGTAACCAACTCTGTTCCTTTGAAGAGAACCATATTAGTGGTAAACGCCTGGTGATTTAAAAAGTACATTACATTTCATTACATTACATTACATTATACAGGGAATAGGTAGCTTAAGCAAAGCTGTTTTAGCCGTTGACGAACGTCAACCGGAAGTAAACTTTTGGCATTCTAGCATGGGTAGTGGTTTTGTCAAAATTTTGGGCAAATTGTCTCTATGAGAGTTAAGACACTGAACAGTTCAAATTTGGTAGCGTCGAGGAGTTTTAAAGTGGAAAACGCCTCACCTCCAGTTGACACGCGTCGCTGAAAAACGCCTTTGCTTAAGGTCCCTAATGTTTCAAAATACGTCAGAAGTGTCTCAAAGATATGGTTCCTCTATGCCTTAGAAGCCTGCTTGGATAATTTGGAGATACCCTAAAACCTTGCTTCTCTAATCGCATATCTTAGAGGAACTTTGGTGGTCTCGAAGAAGTTTTAGGTGGCTTTTCCGTCTCATCCGACACTTTTAGCTACCCTGATGGGTTCGGTAAAAAGTTCGAGGGAATTGAATAGCCGTATTTTCATTAGAAAATTCTAAAAGACGTTTTAAGTGCCTTCACCGAAGTTTTGAGGAGGCTTTTTTGACAATGATCGTAATCACGCTTGGTATAAAAATGTGAAAACATAACTTGGGAAAATCGTACGTAACAAGTTCTCATGTTCAAATTTTTTAGACGATGAACGAAAGAGATATAGAGATATAGGAAGTGCATGATCGCAAGCTAGAAATTTTTGGCGTTCAGTTTCTTGAGCTTTAGAAATTTCTACACAAAAGTTGCTCCTTCGAACGGTTATTTCACAGGACGGAGTGCTGGTTGCCCCTGAAATTCTTTATATTTTCTTTAATTAAACTCACCCACTTAAAACGAACATTAATGGTAATGCCTACTTAAGGACCATCTCTTCCTTTCCAATCGGCAATCTCTTAGAAAGTTATCCGCGCTAAAGCGGAACTAGAAGCTGCCAAGAATTGGTCAAGCCTGTAAAAAGGCATATTTTTATTCTTTCACTTTGATTTGAAAGAAAAGTGATCAGTGCTGCTATTTAAACATCATGTCAAATGGGATGACTATGGTTTTTAATTTTGCCTGAGGATATTAACTGTTTATCAGTAGGATGCCTGAAATATGTGTGTATGTCCACAATTTCAACTTTTATTAGGCATCACTTTGAGAAAACTTTATGAGGAGCCACGCACAACGTATGGAGAATTAGTGGCAGAACATACTTTTAAGGAAAACAATCAAAAATTAATAAAAATGTATACAAAATTAATCAGTTCTAATCAAAACTCGGTAGACACTTCAACCAACAAACTAGCGCACTATTTTGGAAACCTGAACAAAACATCAGGAGTCCATCAGGTCTAGGTTATGTATAAATGTACGTGTTTTCAGTTCACCTTGTTTAATTTCTATTTTCATAGATTTAGTTCACGGAATATCATAGTTCTTTGCTTGTCATAGACGTTTAGTTTGTTGATGCTAAATAATGTTTTGTGGCTTTCATTAGTTTTACACAGTAGAACTAACCTCGATAACTCGAACTCGAATAACTCGAATTCCCCGTTAACTCGAACTTTTTCCTTTCCCTTGATCAAAATTTCCCTGAAATTTACCCCGATAACTCGAATTCCCCGCTAACTCGAACTGTTTTTAGTTTCCCTTCAGAGGTCGAGTTACCGGGGTTCTACTGTATTTTGATCCAACAAAACGTGCATTTTTGTCAACGTAATCAACATGAGCCACTTAGTGCGGACTCTTCGTTAATACGGATGGGGCCATGGTTCTCTCACAGACCGTACTGACGTTGGAGTTCGCCTCCGAGCCCCTTAAAAACGAGAGGAGTTTAGGTCTTGGTTTAAAGTCAGTGTTAGGTCTGCTGTTGGGGCTATTAGAAAACAATTGGGGATAAAATCAGTGGTTCAGATGAAAACTTCCAGTGTATCGGTTAATGCGAATTCCAGATGCCAGGAAATTTTTGCTTGTGAAATCCAGAATCCAGGCTTGGAGTCCGGAATTCAGCTCAAGGAATCTGCAATCCCACTAACGATTGGAATTCGGAATCCAAGTTTCACTGAAAAGAAATCCGGATACAATGCCTGGAATCCAGAAGCCAATTTTGTCGTGCATTACCTTTCATTGGGCGAGTAAAATACAAGAAGTACAAGTTTCGTTCCTCGTAAGGGAATCCAAGACAATCTTGGATCCTGAATTCCACTCTTTGTCAGCGGAATTAACGTTGAATTCTGGATTTCAATCGTTAGTGGAATGCAGGATCCGGCAATATCGTCGGCTTAAATGATCGACAAAACTAGACCATTATTTTTGGAATTCAGTTGATACGAAGGCATGAATAGCGAATAGCACTGCATAGCCCCATTTAAAAGAGTCGTCAGTATTTTACTATTCTTACGAGCCCTATATGAGTCATGCCTTAACAACCACATGCAATTTAACGGTTCTTAATTAAATGGACCTTAATTGCTCTGGGTAGTGTCTCTAGCTTTCTTGTGTATATCCCTAGAAGCCGGGGTCTAAATTTAACACAAGCCGGGAGGCGGGAGAGCTAAAGAGTAACAAAATAAGCCTTTCAACTATAGTTATAGTGGGGTTAACTGTCAAACGTCAATTGCCTAAAAGACTTTAATTTTAATTTAAACTTTAACCGCCACAAGCTGTATTTTGACTCCTACCGTAAGAGCAGGCCCTCCATATTATATGATCTTCTTGAAAGACTCTAATGTGTTTTGGTAGAGTTAAAAGCCTACACAGAACGGCAGTTCCGGCACTTGAGCAAAAGCAATCAATATTTTAATTCAGCCGGAATTTAATTACTGAGATGTTTTCAAGATACAATAGATCGTCTAGCTGTTCAGATCCTCGGTTAGCATGGTGTTAACGCAGTACTGAAAAGGTTTCTTCAGTTACGACCTCTGGACCACTGTTATTTCAAAACTGTTATCTGGTCTTATCTTTATAATCAAGCCCTCATCGTTTTCAACCGGATCTGAATCGGTATTGACCCACGCGGAGTACACACTGCTGTCTACACACAGCCGATTATAAGTACAAGCATTAGCTAGATTTCAGCGCCTTTTTCTTACAGCCTCGCAGCATCTCAGCTGAAACTTAACAGTTGAACATTGCTTGGGAAAAAAGCATATGCCTAGTAGACTGAGCCCCCAAGCCGATCAAGAAAAGCTTTTGTATATCCCCATTGTTTCCGCACCATTAAGGGTCTTTATCAGACCAATTTGCCTTGAAAAACAGTGGGCAAACTTAAACAATCTCGGCGGTATTAGATAGCTCTCAGCTTGTGCAATTAGTTCATACCACATGATATTGATAATGAAACCTCAGCATTTGTTGACGTGGGCTGACTGAAAAAAACAATTTACTGAGAAAAATAGACCAACCCGGCTTCTCACATTACCGATGGTCACTTTCGTCAGTTTGCAGTCTTCCATCTACTTAAGTTTTTCTTTTCGTCTTGTACATAGGCATCAACAATTTTTTAAAAAGGCAAGAGTTTGTTAATGCAAATATACGAATAAAATCTACTGAGCTACTTCCCTGTTGTACTATTTATTACGCTGTACAAGGATGTTCTAACTTTTGAATCTGTCGATGAAATCCTTAAGTGTGACCATTCAAATGAAAGCTACTGAGCTTCTTTCCCGTTGTACCATATTTATTATGCTGTACAAGGTGGTTCTAACTTTTGAGTCTGTGGATTAAATCCTTTAGGGTGACCATTTTATGAATTATGGTATAAAAAGGCCTCTGAGCAGTATTTTTCGAAAGCGCACTGCATGAGTGTTTATCAGGGCACCCGTACAAGATGGCTCTATCAGACTTACAAGTTAAACTCCTGACTCTTTGGGTGAAATTCTTAAACGGCTTTACTGAGCAGTACTTTTATAGTTGACATTTATTATGCTGTAATAGGTGGTTAGAACTATCTGAGTCGGCAGGACTAAATGATCATACAGCGAGGCAATCTAACTGAATTCAAAACAGAGCAGCCATTAATTATTCCATAGCTACTGTTCGGTGTTAACACTCTGCGAAATTAAAGTTGAAAAAGGTTTCTAGACAAATAAGACTAAAGAAAAATGCAAACCCTAGTACAACTTGAAAATACCAGCGTTAATTCTTCAAAACAAGATCGAACGCTGTCAGCAGCTTCTCGGGAGTTTTATTCAAAGCTCTTTGTTCACTGTTTATTCTAAATCCCGTGGTTGTCTTTCACAAAGTACAATTGTAGATCTAGAGAGGGGCGTATTGTTCCCTCAAACAACAAACGCATCGGAATATAAAAGCACTTTTACTCGGTCAAGCGTTAGTAATTAACTGCTCCGTGGTCGCCAGGCGAGCGAACAAAGGCCTTAGATAAACAGGTTAACACCGAGCCGTGGGAAAGTTTGCGATTGTTTAAAATATGTACATTTTAACGAGTTGATCATGTATAGGTATTCCGAGAAATCTAGGAACTTAGAAACTGCTCGAGTCAGTATAAAGTTATATCTGCGTTTTCTTTGAATGCATTTGATGTTATGTTATATAAGTATGTCAAAGTTGTTGTCAAAATGGACCCTCTTTGTCTTGGCGAAATCTTTTGTCCTTAGTTAGAGGGCAAAGCGTATTTACCCTGTAGAATTTTTTACACGCTTTGCTCGTCTGTCCACCTTACACAAGTCGTTCCGATAGAGTGATTCCCTGAGGTCTGATTGGATAATTCAACAATGCATATTCTATTTTCTTTTCATGACACGTGCATAGCGTAAGTGCGGATGATGTCCCCGTGCGATGCCCAATCAACAAGTCGGAAATTACTTAACATAATATCATTTAATTTACTTATTTATAAATCGTTGTCTTATGGCAAGGAGACGTATAGCTGTTCAGGAACTTGTGGGTTACTTATTCTTCTTCTAGTTAAAAAATGAAACGCTCATTCAGCGAGATTAATGATTCCACGGAGGGGGATTTTTTCAAGGGAGGCGAGAACGAGTGAGTAGTGTTTTTAAAGGTCTCCAGTCACTTTGATGCTCCTTAAACGTTGATTAATGAGCTCTTATCTTTTATCGTTTCAAGTTCCGACGGTGTGGAGAATGAGCTCGAGAATCCTGAAACAAGGGCGAGGAAGAGAAGGCGAGGAGTAAGTCAAAACGAAAATATCCTTTTTTATGGGTGGTAAATTCCCAACGTTTTAACAAAATGGTTTCGTTTTCAGCAAATTGAAAAGAAGAGAAGAGATAGAATAAACAGTTCTCTTGCGGAGTTACGGCAGTTGGTTCCGGCCGCGTTTAAGAAGCAGGTGGGTTATCAGCTAAAATTGATCAGCTTCAATTTCAACAACTTCTCTGACACGCGCAAAATCATTGATACGGCACGTCCAAACTTTCTGGAGAAAAAAGAGACACAAAAAAGACTTTACTACACCATTGCCAGATGATGTTAATTAAAATGTAACAGAAGCTACTAGAATCCGGGAAAACACTCAGGAAATTTGTAGGAATTTTCCGCCTAAAGCGCAATATCATTATCTCTTTAGCGGCTTCAGTCATGAACGATCGGTACTTAGTTAAAAAATTATCTTTTCGCAGGGATCTACTAAATTAGAAAAGGCGGAGATATTGCAGCTGACCGTGGAGCACCTCAGAGACTTGAAATACGGAGCTGAACACACCAGAGGTGAGAGAAGAGACATTCGGTTGACGGTGAAATTTTTAAGTCGTGTTTTGATAATATTGCTAGAGGCTACATATATCAGCTTTTGTGGTTTTTATTCATTTTCCGGCAGCGCGCAAGCTAAGATGAAAACTTAATGGGCGGAGTGGACAGTTGAGTTGTAAAGCTTTGCGTAAAGCGCACAGATAAACAATAACTACTCCTAAAACTGCGCTTTCCGAGATACCAATATCCAAGGATTTTCATGGTTTCGCGTTTAACTTTGCGAGACTGTGCTAAAACGATGGTGTTCTTCTGATCATGATATCGCAAAGGGATAATGCCAGCATCTGGGTTTATAAGCACGAGAAGAGTCATTCATGATTATTCATTTCACATTTTGCCCTTAGGTCTCGCTATGACACGCGCCGTCGAAGAACGCATTACAGGGCATCAGGAATGCATACCCGACAGCCATCTGAGCTTATCAGCGCCGGTGGAGACCGCGGAAACCGCACACGTCTCACCAACGTCCTCTACAAGGCGGCAAATCGTTAACAAGATTAACTGCCTCGCCGCCCTACCGGGCGGTCACAATGGAATAAACCCGCCTAAGACGGGGCTAACACTGTCCACAATGGAAACGGACAAACAGTTATGTTCATCAACTCAGACTTTCACTACATTGCCATTAAATGCAGGCCGAAGCGAAGTGTGCGAGATGTCTCAGGCACGGAAGATACGGGATTGGGGGCTGACTGTGGCCTTTAATTACCCCTCCGTTCTCCCTCTTCAAAGACCGGGGCTTGGAAATGTTCTGCAGACCCCTTTAATTCAAGCGGGGCCCCTAATCGACTGGTCAATGTCGCTAATAACCAAAACTAACTACTCTGTCCCTTTTCCTTCTTCCTGGTCTCCTTAAAAGAATCTAGAGTCACAAGTAAGACTTTGCGTTCAGAAAATGAGCTGAAATATTCATGACATGTGAGTCCCATATTAAAAATATGTGGAAGCTAGTTCATCACCTTAAAGTAGACAGAAAACAAGTTCTTTATCATGGTGTATGCTTAAGAACAGGACAAACTAAAGTTATACTGTACATATTACCGGGGATTACAGGTTTTTAGAAAACTAATGAGTATGAGTATTTGATTAAAAAACTTTAAATCTTGATCAAAGAAACCTCTTTGTTTGTTATTAATCAAGCGGGCCTTCGCTTCCTAAGTAAATAAGCTTTTTCTTTCTCTTGTATTAACCAGTTTGATTATTGAATACTAGAGATATTTACTAAATTAGCTGAGCCTGTTTTCTTATAACAATAAAGGTATTAGAAATATTTCTCAGTCGTTTACAATAAAGGTGGCTTTAGAAGATTAATAACTAAAAGGAAAATTCAACCGTCACAATGCTGTGCGCTATATGGAGTTATCTAAAGTTTCGACAGCATTTGCGTTAAAAATGCGCCAATATTGCACGACTACTCTCTGGGCGGTCTTGATAAGAACTGCTATTTAAAGGTTATATACCTAGCCGAAAACATTGAATTAACACTGAATGAAAAAGAAAAAAAAGGAAAAAAAGAAGAGGTGAATAAGGGATAGATAAAAATTTGCAATTACCGATGAAACTTCGCATTAATATTTTATAGATATATATTTTTTCAAAACAAAATACGGTGTTTTCCCCTTTTTGTCACAAGCTTCCCTCGGACGTTCTTCATTACTTGGAGTTACCCTCCCTCGTGTTTACAAGATCTCTTACAAGGCATTCATTTTTACGCCTAAGTCAAATAACTAGGGAAATTTTCCACATTCCCTTTTTAAAAAATCGTAATCAACGTTTCTGACAATTGATCGCTATTTCTAACCATAAATTAAGGCTCAAAGGCGATTGACATTGCCTTCAATCAGGAGTCCAACTACTGCAACTAGGTATCGCTTAGTTATTGATGAAAGGGATTATGTGCGGTAATTTATGTACCAGTGTATTACTGAAAAAAAGCATGTAACGCAAGAGTAATATTAGAGTGACCTTCGTAGAAAGACGAAAACAACATCAGATAACTTAATTGCTTTGTTTTGAATTTTTTTGGGTGAATTTTCATCCGTTTAAGGTTGTAAACTCATACTTGGGTGGCCTGTGGCTTGGAATTAGGCGCGCGAACACGGAAAAGGACTGGGTTGGAATTTACACTGTCAGAATTTCAAGATGGCGGCTGGGGAAGCGATTGAACTTAGCCAACTTCCAATCCCTCATTTGGAGAATCTAAGGTCTCAATTAGAAGAGGCAAGTTGTTTTAACTTAGATGAAATCTCAGGGTAAACCCTACGTATACCATGAGCTAATCCTGAGTTGTTTTTAGGAGGTAAAATTGCTTGGAGATTCCATGGCTCAGTTAAAGGTCGCCCAGCAAAAGTTTGGAGATTCTAAAGAAAATGTAAAGAAAATGAACAACAAGGAATCAGGTGGGTTTGGTTATAACTTCTTTTATCTAATCGCTCTTTTCCCATACAAGTTGTTTGATTTGCTTGATTTTTTTTTATTCCCGATCACTTATTTTACAATTTTTTAGGAAAAGATATACTTGTGCCATTAACAAGCTCTGTATCCTTTTTGCTCCTTTTGCGTTGAACATTAAATGTATACTTTCTTTTTACATAAGTAAAGAAATAAATATGTAACTGATTACATTTTTAGAATACCTAGCCTGAGAAAACAGTCACGATTTCGTGACTCCATCGCTGGTTCCACCGCGAAATATTTAAGTCTGAGGAACGGGTGCAGAAGTTCCGATGCTTCCAATTAGTTGCATCAAATTTTAAAGCAATCAGAAGCTTTACTCAGATCTGCAGTGTAGTGATGTGTCATCAGTATGGAATTTCTGCTCTTGTTCCTCAGATGCCATTTCGTGGGGGTGAGGAAAAAAAATAGACCCCCCATTTTGGACTGGGTCGAAAATGGTTTACTGTTAAGTCGCCCGAAAGTCATCTCGCCCAAAATGTTTAGTCAAGTCACCCGAAATGCTAAGTTAAATGTGGGTTGAAATTTTATCATGCACAACAATATCCTAGCATCCGTATTACCATTTGCTGCGCTTGTTTCTTCTGATCAACGATTATAGAACGACATATATTACTCGTTTATCATGCTTGTCTTGTTGTTAATCAAGGGTTACACATTTATAGTGCTTGTTTGTCTCATCGAGATATATAGCACACCCTTTTTTTAAAACAAAAATTAACTTTGTTTCTCTGTGTACTTCACCTGATAAAATTCGAGCAACATGACTGCATTTTGGGCGACTTAACTTGGGCTTCAGGCGAAATAACCTCGGGCATGATGACTTTCGGGCGACTTGACCAGTTACCTCCAAAATACAAGTAGCTCGTGGCATTTTTTTTATCCAAACCATCTTCCCCTTTTGTCCTCTGAAAAGCAAATGAAAGGAGAATGCAAAATCCCACATTCTTGGTAAACTAGGAACAAAATACCACTAAATCATCAGTGGTTAGAACTGTCACGTGCTACCCTCATTAAATAAAGCTATCTGTATATATCTTTGTAAAGACTATTTTATGTTAAAAATAAATAAATACATTATTTCATCCTTGAGTCACCTTAGATGTATGTCCCCGGAACACTTGAAAATACTGAATCTGTTTTAGTGAATATTGGAACCGGCTACTTTGTAGAAAAGGTAATGATTATTTTCAGGAATGTGAATCTTTTAGTTTCTTTTTTCCTTGAAGCCGTGGTTTAATGTTTGTAAGTTTACGTTTTGGAATAGCCTACATAGCAGGTATCAAAGGGTTAGGGAATCAGGAGCCCAGGGGGGTGGGCGTGGGGGTACTCCAGATTTTTTTGGGTTTGAAATGTTCAATTCCGGGATTTTTTGGGTAGTAGAATTTGGCAAGTATTTTTTCGGGTGGCCTGATTTAAGTAGGGATTTTTTTTAGTGATTCAGAACATGATAGTGCCTGCGTGTCCCAGCCGCATCATTTTGCGATTTAAATACAACCAATTTTGTTTTCGTTTCTGGAGATTTTTAAGGCTCAGAAATTCAGCATGGGATTTTTTTTGTGGTTAATTTTTGGTCCAGGAACTTTTTGGGGGGTTTTGTTTGAAGCCCTAGGGATTTTTTTTGGTTTTGATATTTGGCCCCATTCAATCCTCCCTGTCACTTGAAATCCGAAGTTCCCCCCACCCTTCCCCCTGGGGTTTGGAGAAGGCAAAAAGGAAGTCTTTTCTCTCCCTCCCCAGTTTTTGCACCTGTGAGGCAGTCTGTTTTGGAAAAGTGTGAGTTTACATCACATCTAGTTGATTATCGATAATTCTTAACTTTACTTATTATTTGTTTTGTCTCTCATCTAGGGACTAAAAGAAGCTGAGCAATATTTTGGTAGAAAAGTTGATCTAGTAACCAAACAGCTGGAACTCCTTCAACCAAAATTACTTGAAAAACATAAACTAAAACAAGGTAGGTAGGAAACTCAAAGATGACAGTGGGTGTCATCCATTCAACAATAAATTCTGGTTTCAAATCAAGAAAGTTCAATGTGTGAAATGAAACATGTCACAGGTTTTTTAGTTGTTTAAAAATTTCAAGGATTTTTTTTGCAGCATGTTCTTGACAGTTGAGTCCATTCTGGATGGCTTCTCAAACTCGAAACAATTCCTCAAAGTTTTGTAAAATTTACCATTCATTCTATGAGTTTTGAAATTTTTGCCAAATGGCTAGTTCCCAGTGACATTTATTTTATTTAACTTTTAGATATGTCATATATCAGTGGCTATTTAAAAATTCTGAAGATGTCATGGTACAAATTGACCTTCTGCCTATGCATAAAGTCATGTTGAATAAGTTAGACAGTTTCAGAGGCCAAAAAGATTAATTTTTTCTTTAATTTTATAAAATGTACACCTGCCCTGTTACCCTAGCTGCAAGCAGTGGTTTCTTTAGGCCAGACGCTACGCTATGTCCTGTTGAATTAAAGCAAAGTTTGTTTGAAAAAGGATTCTTTTGAAGAAGGGCAATTATTTTTGTTATAAATTATTTGAAGTTAGCAATGACTGTCTGTTTCCTGTATAGTGAGATAACTTAATTTATTTAAAGACACTTCTTGAGAGACCAACAATCCTTTTTTGAAAACCAAACAAGTATAAAAATTGCCTTTTCTCTTTGGAATTTTGTGTTAAACAAACGTATTGTGAATATGTCAGAAATTGCTATGCACATGTAAATATGGATGCCAATGCCCCCTTGACATCCCATAGTGGTTTTTAAATTCATTGAATTGACTATGGCTTTTTTTGTGTCACTTTGCAGCTGTTCAAGACATGTTGAATATGAAGGTGCAAGCTCAAATCCAGTCTCAGCTAGGTGGAATTCCTGCAAAGACTTAAACATGTTCTCAATTTTCTCTGTCAAAGTGACTTGTATTGCAAAGCTCTTGGACTCACAAATCCTGCTTTAACTTCACTTTTGTTGTTTGGATCTACAGTGTACAAGGAAGATAATGTTAACTTTCACAAGACTCCAAACTTGTAACGGAAATTCTGATTTTCCCCCACACTGAGAATAGAGGCTTTATTCTCAGTAAATTGTTCTAGACATTTTCTCAAAAATCAACTGGTCAAAACTGCTTCTTTCCATATGCGGTGTAAGGACATTACTTCTTTGCAAAAGATGGAAAACGTTTATTTAAACACTGCATTTGTTATCCAAACAAGCTTTTGCTCTGTAAAATACAACAATCTATCCAGAAAAAAAAAACATGAAATAGCCAGTTTACCAATAAAGAGTATGTCTAAATTAATTCTTGACATTTGACTAAATCTTCATTTTTTTCAACACCCACCAAAAATAATTTGGTTTCAGACTATCAGCACTTGTTCGAGATTGTTAGTTTGTTACTCCACCTTATTAGGGGACAAAAACAAAAATTAATCTATATTTTACTAATTGACCTAGCAGCAAAAAAATTTGAGAGAAATTTAGTTCTATAAATTAATGATTTATGCCTGATCTTATAATTTTCACAAATTGAAAACAGGCTCATGGGTGTAGCGTGAGAGTTTGAAGGGGTATGCACAAAAAGAAAAGTTACATGACGTGGAGGACCAGACCAGGTGGGCCGGTCTGGGGGCATGCTCCCCCCCTGGCTCCCCCCCTGGCTCCCCCCCTGGCTCCCCCTAGACAATTTTTAAATTTAGGGTCTCGGAAATGCCATTTTCTGCGTTTGTCACGGGACATTTTCAGTAAATAAATACCAGGGAAGCAGCTAGTTGTTTATTTTACACATCTCTAGTGTTATGGAATGATAACAGGATAAAGGAAATACTAACATAACAACACCAATATCATGCGAAAAATTTATCAGTCATCCCAATTTAAAGATAAAAATGTTCTCAGGAAATGGAAACAAAAAGTTTCCAGATCTTATCTGTACGCATGGGCATTTGTGCATATATGGATGGTACGCTCCTGAGGTTACTAGTAACAATAATACACTAACTAGTGTGAAAAGAAGGGCAATGTCCATAGAATGTTCAGAGAAAAGCTCTGTTGGTTCCAATGAAACATTTTTCACTGGTTCTACTATCTGTGAGGAAATGAGGAAGGTAAAGGACTTTTTCCTGTGTGCTCACGTTTTTCTTTTTCTACCATTAATGGATTAACAAATAAAAACAGCATAAAATAAAACCAAAACCATGGACACAAACTTAGGCCCTACATACTCTTTTGTTCTCCAGGTTATGGGTTTATTAAATTATAATTTGCTATTAAACTGGCCATTTTCTAAAGTTGCTCAGTCACCTTGTTTTTCTTAGTTGAAGTCTTGAAAAATAGGTTGGCATAGCAGTGATAATGGAAATTTATTTTGTCCTTCAAAAAAACATGATTGATATAAGGTTATTTTAATAACCCAACAGTCTGCTAATCTTCTTGAGCCGTTTAATTTTCTTATGAATTCCATGACCGTTTTAGAGCTTGCAGCCGTGTGAAATGAAAAGTAAGAATATCTTTTTGAGGGAAATTAAAAATCAACTATTTAATTTTTAACTTCGTTATTTTATTCTATTTCTTGTTTTCTGTCTTTTGCCAAATTTTTACCTTGAGGTCCAAATTTAAAGAGTTTGGACACATGCATACCCACACCTGTATGACGTTATAGTAAAACTTAAGTGTGACCCAATATTATATATGAACGACCATAAAAGCTTCCACTTGGGACTGTTACGTTTTCGAATGATTTTGTTAAAGATCAACCTGATTTAAAACCCACCAACATAATTTAACATACTAATTTTTCCTGTTGGCTGTAGAAAGTGTTGTTGTTAGAGAATAGACGTAATCGTTAATCCATAAACGCGCATGGAAAATCGTTGCTATTTTGATTTTGCCATAACAAATCTGTTGATTTCTATAGAGGACAGCTGATTTGCATTTAATTTACATTAAGTTTACAATTCGCGCGTATCAGCATAGCAACAAGACGTATATTGATGAAGATCGCGACGAACGATTAATACAATTGTCATCCATTTTATCAACAATAATCGCAAAAAATTTCCCCGTATCTCGGCTCGTTTACTGTTCAAGGGCTTGAAAGTGATTTTGAAGCTTGCGAATTTCTGATTGTAATTTACGCCGCCGAAATTTAATCTAATTCACTGTTGTTGTTTCGCGGTGCGCACTGACGAGTCTTGAGGGAAGATGTCTGACGGTGAAGCAGAAAATGTGAAGGTAGCAGTGCGAGTGAGACCATTTATATCCTTTTAACTTGTTTTACAACGTAATTCTACCTCTACAATTTAATTTACAACACGCCGTGCGCGATGACTCTGATGATGTCGAACTCTGGAATTGATTTGATAAGTGTGCAGTGTTTGTATAGTCCACTCTCTATGTGATTTTTCATGACCCGATATTCAAATTGCCCAGAGGGCATAAAGGGAATATATCTTTATTTATCGCTTTTACCAGTAAACTGTTTTGCTAACCGGCAGAGCAGTTGAAATCAAATTGTAATCAGCAATATTTTATTACTAGATATTGCAGTCAATATGGCGATGACTTGTCAAAATTCAACTTGAACTTTAAAACACTCTCCACACGGTCCTTATGAGATTTGGATTTAAAATTCGTGTAGTGTTACAAGTACTCTCGATTAAGTAGGGTCAAATTGGCTATCTTATATCGATTATATTTGAATCTTTTGGCATTAAAACATGCAACAATCATGTTTTATAATTTTGTTCAAATTAAGTGCAGCATAATATTGCTCATTAATGTTTTTATAAAGATAATATTGTCAATTTCTGTTGCAACTTAATAATATTATTAATTAAGCCAGATGGGGAATATAGATGAAGATGAGGGTTGGGGGTTGATTTAAAACCATGCAAGGTGCATTCGAGGTCAGTGAAGGATTTACAAGTGCCTATATTAACAAATAATGCCAACAGTGAGAATTTTCTTTGTCACAAAGAAAAAGTTGTTGTTGTTGCTGCAAGATTTTTTCATTCTAGAAGTAAGACAAGGTTAATGCAATTGTTTTCAGTCGAAGTGGTCATTTACTTTGTGAGGTTATGTGAGTTGCATGCCTCAGGGGCCTGAAAAGAGATAACAGGGATGGGAAAGAAATTCTCCCCTTTTATGCTTCACTTTATTTCGATCCCTTCCTTTCAGATATCACTTGGTAGCATGATTCTCAGACGTCCGAGGCCATTCACGGAAGGGACCACAAACGACCTCAGACGTCTCAGAATTAGGCTAATCACTTGGCAGCTCAGAATGATAGCAGCTAGCTGTAATGCAATTGAATTGTCCCTAGAGTGAAAAGTCCTTCAATTCCTTCATATAGTAAGTGGGTATGTGCTACTGCCCAGCTGCAATGGAGCTGGTTTAGATCTGGAAATGGGTCCTCCTAATAAAGTTTTTGCCTACAAGTTGATTTGCCTATACACTGATATTGATCTGCCCAGTACATGATCTGAGCTGTTTTGCCTGCACTGAAGTTATTTTGCCAACCTTTAATACTTGAGGTACATAAGACTTAGAAGCTTACCTGTAATGATTAGAAAACTCAAGTTTGCTCATAGACCTCTTTCATAATGGCAGCCCACTTATTTACTGTATGTTAATGAGTCTTCCTAGTCATGTTTGAAACTAAGAATTCTTTGGTATTTTTTGTGCATATTAATGAGGTCACAAAGGCCAATTATCATACATATAAATAAATATATATTAATAGGCCACCATTATGAAAGAGGTCAATAGTACATCATTAAATGGAATTATCATAATTTGCTCCTTAACAATTCTCACAATAAACGTGAAAAGGCCAGAAATTCAACATTAATTGTTGAGATGAAAGGACAGACAACTTACCTGCAAAACCCTGAAGAACCCAATGAGGAACCAAAGAAGTTCACATTTGATTTCAGTTACTGGTCACATGATGGCTTTGAAGAGAAACCTGATGGCTACCTGGCTCCAACTGTTCCACATTATGCAGATCAGGTATGAATGGCTAAATGCATAAAACTGATTATGATAATGAAAGAAATATGGTATGAGTATAACTCAAGGCTGGGCTCTATAAAAATATATAAGGGGGCGCGGTACTCCGAACCTGTGAAATCCAGGGTGCCCAGTACAGGATCTACTGTAAATCCTCTATTAAGCCCCCCCTCTCAGTAAGCTCCCCTCCTTTCTAATACCCCCCCCCACCCTTTTCAGAGGAGGAATGTTAATAAGCCCCCCCTCTCTGTTAATCCCCCCCTCCCCTTCATCCTTATTCTTCACAAACAATTAACGTGGACTGATCAGTTATGGTTTATTCAGGCTTGAAATTCATATTGTTTTTAGTCTTTGGCCTCAAGACCTCCAACTTCATTTGCTGAACTTTTTCAACTTTATGCTCTAGTTCTCTATGGAGAATTGTTACCATTTTCTTTTTGTTAGAAAAAGCAGTATAGCGCGCGGTAACCACAAGTCCGTCCTCGAGAAACCTTGCTGCCATTGATGCATTTCGCTAAATTAAATAAGCTTCTCCTCTCTATTAAGCCCCCCCTTAAAAGTGTTTGAAAAAAATAAGCCCCTCGGGGGGGGGGGGGATTAATAGAGGATTTACGGTATTTGAAAAAGCAAATATCTTCTGGTTGCCCAGGAGCAAAATTTAAATGCCAGCTGGGGCTACTGGGCACTACTAGAGCACAGCCTTGTAACTGCATTTGACATCAGGAGAACGCAACCTTAACTCAACCTGTGAGAAACATGGGCACGAACATTAAGCAGAAAGCAACTCAAATTTTGAATGGGTCATGCACTGGAAGTGGAAATACGGCATAGACCTTAGACTTCTTATTCCAAGAGCTTGTCCCTTTGGATCACTAGTGCTTTGGAGAACAGAATGTTTTGAAATGCCATGGGGCTCGACATTGAGAACACCAATAATTAAGAAAATTTACTGTTGAAATGACAACAGACATAATCAGCAGTCCCTCGATCGTCACCCCTTTTCCTTGTTTGTATCCGGTTGCAGATTGGTTGAAGGAGACTAGCATGGCATCATCCCCAATATTCATCTCGTACACAATTTTATCCCTTGCTAATTTTTTTAAAGAAAAACAAAAGCAAAGACTGTGGATGAGTCAGTTTAAGCAATTTGTACACATAGCACATCTTATTGTGTTGCAGATGAAAGTGTATAATGACCTTGGCAAGGGGGTCCTGGATAATGCTTGGGCGGGGTTCAACACTTCACTGTTTGCTTATGGTCAGACTGGATCTGGAAAGTCTTGGTCAATTGTCGGTTATGGTGCAAACAAGGGTATGTAATAATCATGCAGACCTTAATCTTCATTGGCTCAGACCCTAGGCATGATTTTTCTTGGATACCTCCTGGGTCACATGTTAGTCATTCTATGTTGTCTTGGATTATCATATAAAGGCAGCTAAGGATGAAAATTGTTTTTAGTGGGGGTGGGCTGGGGCAGGGAGGGGTTGCACTTCCC